GCAGTAGCCGCAGCGCGCTCCCTTTGCCGGTTGGCGCGCTATTGCGAAAGCGCGGTTTCTTTTAGAACACAGTAGGATCTTCGGAACGTATACACCAAACGATCACTGGGCTCGGATTCCAGTGACAGTGGATTTACTTCACGTGTCTCTGGCGGTGCTGGCTGGAGCCATGTACAGTGTCGATGTTGCCTTAGACAGAACGGCTGAGGACCATCTCGGAGTGATCCAAGAGTTGCGCAGGCGCTTCAGTCTTAAACCTTCAGCAACAGCACTAGATGTAGGTTGTTTCGTTTAGATTCCGAACATGACATAGTGTGTGGGTTCGACTAGCGCTCGCTATCTTGACTGGAACGAAATTCCAGCCTTTGAAATTTGACATTTGTTAGCTGAAATCACGGCTAGACCAACAGCATAATTAATGTAAACTGGGCCAATAGTTGTCATTAATAAAAGTGGTGGAACCAGATGTTGCATATCAGTCCAACATAAGACGCTCGATTAGTGGATAGGATTTTGAGAACTCAATAAATTTGTTTGAAGCACGGAGAAGAAGTCCATGAAGCAAGCAGCTTCACGGTGTCCGGAACACATACCAAAGACCCCGGAACGAACCAAAAGAGCTTGTGGATGTCAAAGATCAGAGCGTCGACAGCGGCCGAATACGGCTCAAACGCACTGGAGATAAGAGCTCGAGAAAGGTTGCAATGAGTAAAACAAATGATCACAAACTTGGAGGAACCTATCGAGGGCAGTACAACAAACCGAAAAGATCGAAGTAGTTCCTGGATCTCTTAGAGATCAGACGCGATCTGGCCTTGTCAAATAGTAGCAAGGCGTCAGGACCCAAAAGCATACCTCTATTGTCACTGAAGGATGGTGGCGCAACGCTAGTCCAAAACCCGCATCCAGTTTCTCCAGCATTTCGAGACGAAATGGGAAACTGTCTCCAGATTTACAGCTATCGACAGTGGAAATCTACAATTAAATATAGTCGAGGGCTGTCAAGCCAAATTATATCACGTCCATAGTATCACCGGGCATCGTATCGCGGTGACTCATTGAGCTTCGGGAAGATAAAATCGTTAAAGGGCGAGCAGATAACAGCCGTTTTCCTTTGTTTGATTCGACTGGTCCTGAATGGCGTGGCGTTCCCTGTGGGTGTAACAGGCGTTTACGGAAAATTCATTCCTGAACTTCCCACAAAAAATCGAATTTGCAAGTGTTACTCAATTTGTCCCTTCACAGTTGAGGTTTTTAGTCGAATCCATTCCGAACGACATTGCCCAGGTTAGTTCCTTTGCAGTGAATGAACGAGGAACTCGGAGAACGTAATGGTCTAGTAATAAATGTTTGGTCAACAATTGCGTGCAATGCGAGATTGCAAGACCTGATCGGCGTGTAATTTGTTCCCAACAAATTCGAAAAGTCATATATCTAGGTAAGTGCATCATCTCAGGTGATAATAGCAGCGGAGGGAAGAAAACAAGTCGAGAGAAGTGAAGTCAAGGTAAGTTTTATGTGCCCGGATGAGCTCATTTTCAGCAATTTGCGTTATCAACTGCAAATGGACTAAAATGACCCTAAAATGTAAACTTTATACAAATGGATAAACAAAAGTGAAATTGGTACGCTGTTGTCACTAAAGTAAATGGCCACGAATTCCCGAGCAAAGATCGTAGAATGCTGAAGAGATTACTCGGTATTTGTATGCATTCGACAAGGCAGAATATGACTGAAAGATTACTTCAGTACTGGCTTAAATTGGTCTAAAGTTTCGTGTCAAAAATCAACAAATCGCGAATTGTGCGCAGTAAGTTGGCTTTTATAATTAAAATATGGACACAGTAAGATGGTTGTAGTGTAAAGCAGTGAAGGATAGATTAGGCTACATCGCAGTTAGCTTCCAATCAATCATAGTCCGTTTTCGTCCTCATGATTCAGTGGCATAAGTTGCTGGCTAGTATTGGAAGTCACTAGCGGTCATGGGTTCGATCCCCTGAAAAGGACCAGGGGAATTCGAAACAGTGAAGAGCAACAACGGAACGAAACGATCGCCTAGTGTTTTTTGGAGCTGATAGTTGACATTACTGTGATGGAGCAAAAAATAAACGGAAATAGTTTGACACGCCCTTGTGAAAATGGTATACCCATAGTGGATAGCGGAAAGGTGACGTTTGGCGAAAAGGTAAATGCCGATTTGAATGTCCCGTCAGCGATACGTAAAGGTTTTCAAAATCTCAATTAGCTGCAGAGATAGTGCTGTACAACGCCACAACGCATCCACTGTTACTGTTGACTGGTGGATATTAAGCACTCGGTGATTTCTGATTACTAACTAGTTTGGGGGATAAAACGGAGAAGCACACCTGGTTAAGTGAAGCTTTAGAGCTATCAGATCAGGAAACGATAAAGTGATAATAACACATCGTCTATACACCGAAGAGAACGCAAGGTGTACGCTTAAAGTGAACAGTCGTTCTCGATGTATCCATCATCAGGCCTATCAGAAAAATATACGTTAGGGCCAAGCCCATACTGGACGGGGGGTGTGCTCCTGGTGCATACGTTGAAAAATCATGCATGCAGGATCTTTAGTGAGAGCACTAATGACGATGAACTGAGGTAAATCAGACACTTCCAGGAAACGACCATCCAGAGCTCCGCATTGACGCCCATATGAAACAAAGTAGCCCGAGATCCACAGAGCATATAGTCGAGTAGAAACAGATGTGCTTTAAGCTTAACTTTAGAGGAGACAAACGGCTGATGTAAACCAGCAGAAAGACTTCTAACGCAGCCCAACGTAACATGGCTTTTTCGAGCGAACCGTTCCTAGCTTCAAAAGCAGTGCATGTTCACATCCAACCAACCGGTTTGCCAACTTCTGTGGGGTTAAATATGTGGGATGTAAAAGTAAACGTTGAGCAGAATGTTTCAAGAAACATCTACGGATTGCCTCATCAATCAGTGAGACAGAACTCAACTAACTGGAATAACTAACAAACCAATCAGTACTGGGCACCAAACTGATAAACGTAGTGCTTCAAAATGCTGCATAATGTGCCATTGCAACTGAAGCCTTAATAAGAGGTAAGGTTGCTTGTTGTTCCTGCCGAAACGTCAAACATCATACTGATAAGACCGAATGTGTGTCAAAAAGTTCGTTGAAGCGCTGCAACTTCCGTGATCATCAACCAAAGAGGAATCAGGCCCCACCTGACATTGACACGTGCCTTCAACCACCTATTTACCTGGCGCGCATTGTGATAATCATTTACTTTTGTCCAATGAATGTTTAACCTATGTACTCCCGAATGGACTTAATCTCCACTAACGTACGCTTCTGTAGTAAGCCTGATGAGAAATAAATTGAGAACAACTGCCCGCTCTAAGAGTATCGCTTGTATTCCGCTTCAGGATAGACAATAAGTAGGCATTTTACACCAAACTAATAAATTGACCGAATAGTCTAACGGAATTGATGCACGTCACTCTCCTCGAAACGGACACACCGGTTTGAGATCATATCATTTATAGCGGAGTTGCAGAATAAATGGCAATGTGTAGCTTATAAGTTGCTTTGTAAACTTGATCTCCCAAGCATTCTTCTTAGCACGAGTTGCAGTTTGTGAGTTTTTCTGCTGAAGTATAGCGGCATGAATACCAGCCACTGCGTTTGTCGCGTCTCGGTGCTTAAAGGGTGGCTAGTTAAGGAAACTAAAAAGCAAACTGTTCACGCCTCCTGAGAAAATACGCACACGTCAATAGCGGCTAATGAGTGACGCATCTAAGTTAAAATCAAAGACTGAAGACAAATGAATGCTAACGGCAACGGTCCAAAAATGAGAGTGCCTCACATGAGAGTGGTGACGCTTAGTGAGCACTCAATATGGAGCGAAGATGAAGGTCTGTGTCGCTCTCTCGAAAATTTTTATTGGATAAGAATGCGGAATAATGTTATTAACTCGCCATGCATTTTCAAGACATCAGACGTGCAAAGTCCTATTCTGATGTGACACATTTTCTAAAAATAAAATCCTTGGAGTGTCAACGAATTTCTTGCATTCCAAGATGGATTTGGCTCCGACTAGTTTTAAACTGTGCCAATGTTCTCCCATGTGCCGCTCGAAGCATAGAGGGTGGGTTATCCGCTTCGAATCCAGTAACAAAAGTTTGCACCGGTGTGTGAACGTAGTGCTTGGAGTACGCGTGTGGGGCAGCGGCGTGAGTATAGACAAGTTACGCGAATGCACTGTCAGTAGGAGATTAACTCGAAACCGATGATACGACGGGGTGTAAGGGCTCGCATCTCTCGCATCGGTTTTGGCACGATAAATCCCGTAAACTGAGGACAATCATGGTAACCATATTATGCTGAATTCGTTCACGTTTTTGCACCTCGCCACGAGAACCATAGGCGGGTGATCCGTACTCGAGCTTTGGTCATATGATAAAAAACTTCTCCAGACCAAGTGCAGAAACTGTAGTTGAATGCCCAAAGCATGCATAGTGCGTTTCAGTATGGTCTGTCCGTGCTGTCCACGGAGTTCAAGTTGCAGCACTTAGGCCTTGGACAGGAAATGGGATGGAGCGGTTAATTGACCAAATATTTGCGCAGCATCACACTAAAAACCATAGTATGTGTCAGCATTATGTCGATGCGCAGCACCACCACTTCAGTGTCACGTGACCACTCAGTCTCGCCCGGGCTAAGGATACGGAAAAGTCGCAGACTCGAACCGGTGACTTCCGGTTTACGGGATAGATGCTTCATCCTTTCGGCCACCGGATGGATACGGAATCAGACGGGTGGAGAAACATCGATGATGGAACCAGGTCAACAGCTGCACTTCATCAGCTTACCAACACAATGCATCGATGCCCCCTAAGTAAAGTGGACTAATAAGCGGCTTACGTATAGCAGGGCCACAACGTAGTAGTGCAGTTGAGCCTCACAGGTCAACAAAAGTGGAGAACATAACACGATAAATAATGCTCACCCAGAGCCATATTGTAGTAAGATTTTGAATCTTCGCCAATCACCGCTGACCGGGCGCTTGCCTCGTTAGCATATTGAATGAACGCATAACCTTTGTGAATTGAAATGCCAATGATAGCGCCGTATTTGACAAATATCGATTCTAACTCCGTTTTGGACATGTGCACCGTGTTCAAGTTGCCAACGAACACTCTAGACTTCAAACTGTTTGGATCTGTTCGGTTGGTGATATTGCTGACGCCAATCATGGACTGAAAAAGAGAGCAAGTATGACGAGGTTGAAGTCCAACACACTTCAGCTTACTAAACGTGTTCAAAAACAAGAAGGGAACGAAAATCAGCAGTACAACAGTACTTCGTGCTGACATCTTATCTGAGACAGTGCGGTATCGAACCAAACGCCTGCACCATACGGCCATCGACAGACAACTGTGACACGAGAGCGCTGCTATCCTTAAGGATATAGGCATATTGAGAAGGAATAACACTAGAGGAAAAAAGCAGAGTATAGCCTGGAAGATGTAGTTCGTTTGAGATGGAAATCTGGAGGGACAAGGCACATAAGTAGTCGTGTGAGATAACGTCAACCAGGTGACCAATACTGACAAATTGCATATATATATATATATATATATATATATATATATATATATATATATATATATATATATATATATATATATATATATATATATATATATATATCCGGTTGGCGGCATCCGGTTTCGGATTTGCCTGTCACTGTCGCCAGCCACAGAACGCCTGCGCCTACAGCGGCACCATGGGTGGTTTGCGCTGCACAACCCACAGACCACATATCCAGTGTAAACCCGAAAGAATAACACCAGGAGGCATGTGGATGGGACCCACGTTTCACCAACGGAACGGGCCTACACTCCTTCACAGCCAAACACAAACAGCTGTATTTGGAAATCAAGCGCACAAAAGGCCGTGGCTGAATCCACTCCATACTGAGTGCATGGAACCACTCTTCGAGCCCAGTACGACCACAAGGACCGTGCATTCTGTAACCTCTAACAACGACGAACTGTCTCCTGGGGCCAGTACAGAAGAGGTAGTGGGTAATAGACAGATAGGCATCATGTCCCCATTCACATCAAGCGCAGCCACACCGGAGATATCAAGCAACAACCAATCATTTGAAACGACGATATCAAATAAAATAAATCGAATAAGGCATACAGATACAGTGACATTACGCCCCAACAAAGGACCAAATGAAATAAAATGGTTACGAATAAATCCGCGATAGGTTCAAGACGTCAGAAAAAATATTTTAAGGAAATGCCAGAAAGGCGAAAAGGCTTACGTAGCTAAATACAATTCGCTTAAGCGATGTGTGCAAGTTAATGGAATAGTATCAAGGTAGGCAGTGAAGTAAGATAAAAAAGCACTCGGAAAATATAGCAAACCCCACAAACTGAAACAAAGAAAGTTAGCAAGCAAGCACGTCGTTATTAAATCGAATGCAGCGTACCTACAAAGCTGCGCCGGTTCTGCTTACGTTCTCTGCAGCACCTACCGTCGTTTCGGTGTTGGCCGCTAGTGGCCATGCTCATGGCTAAATAGGCCTGTTTGACTCACCCACTCGCGACCACATGTGCTACAGCACCATGCGTTCAACGCCGATGGAGTACAACCCATCGGCGTCAGTCGCTTCCGCACCAGCCGTTTCTTCTCTGCATGCACCAGGGCTTTCTGTTGCACTTCGGCAACGGCCTTCGTGATCAGATCGCGCCATGCACACCGATCAACCGCCTTCGACTCCCAACATCTGCAATCAACATTAGAACGTGAGGCTCACCTTGGTCATGTCCTGGTAACGAAGCTTCGGTTTCCCCGCATGCTGCTTCCCAACACTCAGCTGACCATATAACACCCGCTTTGGTATCCGCATCGAATCTATACGGCACAAATGACCGAGACACCTCAAATGTCTCAGTAAAAGTAGGCAGTTCACTGCATAGATTCCACTTCGGCGCCACCTTTCTGTGTCAGCAACTCTGTCACCCCAACTGATGCGCAGAATCCGTCACAGACACTGTTGATGAAACCGCTCGAGGAATCGCACATCCCTCCAGTACATCGTTGACATCTCGCTGCCGTACAGAAGAACGGACAGCACTATGGATTTGTACACCACCAGCTTCGTGCCAACGGTAAGCTGATGGTTGTTCCACACTCGGTACTCCATCTTCCCGAATGCCGCCGCTACCTTGGAGACGCAAATACGAATCTCACTGTGTAGCTGAACAGCTAAAACCACACTCCTAAGGAGGCAGAAGCGAGTGGTGGTTTCCAATAATTCAGCACCAATGCTGATTCGCGGCACCACCGCAAATGGCACCTCCAGTGGAGACTGAAAGAGACAGATAGTGTTCCTTGTGTTGATGGTGAGCCCGAATATTGCCGCTGTCGAAGCAAGAACACTAGTCATGTGCTGCAACTAACCCGCGCTGTGTGCAAACAACGCCCAGTCGTCAGCAAACAGCAGCATACGGATAGTTGGCTCACAGACTAGGGTGTTCGCACCAAAACGACGGATGTTCAACAACCCATCATCAATACAGTGCACCACACGAACACTGTAAGCACAAGCGGCATCAAAAGCACAAGACATCATCGCATAGAGATAAATATTAAACATGGCAGGAGCTAAGACACAGCCTTGCTTCACACTAGAGATAACTGCGAAGTCATCCGAGGTCTGTCCACTCAGCTGTACCCTCGCTCGAATACCACTGTGCAAACATTCAATTAAACTTATAAACTTACTCGGACAACCGAACTTACGCAACACCAGCCACAGTGCCTCGCGGTTCACCGTATCAAATGCCTTGGTGAAATCAACAAAAAGCGAGTACAATGGCTGGAGTAGTCCTCTGCACTTCTCCTGCAACTGACGAGCCGCAAACACCATATCTATAGTGCTGCGACCCGAGCGGAACCCACACTGCTCTTTCGGCACGTTAGGTTCCACAACCTGACTGACGAGGCGGTTGAGCAGGATTCGGGCAATCATCTTGCCCACACAATACAGCAGGTTGATGCCACGAGAATTCGTACAACATTGCTTGCTCCCTTTGCCCTTGTACAGTGGTAGCACAAGCGCATCCTTCAGCTTAGCAGGCACCTCCTCCTCAATCCATACGTGTTGCACAAAGCGCGGGTTCGCCGCTTCACTACTTCATGCGGGATCCCGTCGGCACCAGCACAATTGCCGTTTCACAGCTGAGCAAGTGCTCTCTGCGTCTCATCCACCGTCAGCGAGTCCGCCAGACTCGCCTTCACATCATGCCGCTTCAGGCCGTTGAAAGTAGGCCAGTCAATCACTGAACCGTTATTCAAGAGACAGACGAAGTGAGTTCGCCAGACTTGCATTATGTCTGCAGTCTGTGTGCAGGTATAGGCTGAACTATCATCGATTACTGTCCTCAGCGGCTCCAACCTCGGTCCATACACCGCCTTCAAGGAGTCAAGGAATTCCTTGCGTTGGCGGCGTTCGGCATAGCATCCCATCTGCTTCGCCTTCTCCGTCCACCATGCATTTTTAATGCGACGGAGCTCTCGGGTCAGTCGTAGTCGAATTTTGCGAAACTGACTCTTCTTCCCTAAGTCATTGGGATATGCCACATGTGCAAAAAATGCTGTATTCTTCTCAGATACCAATGCACCAATTCTCGCGTTGTTCTCGTTAAACCAATCGGGACGCTTACAGTTTGCGCGCCTAATGGTCTTTTCGACAGCAGCTGTCACCTAGTCGCGAATGTGATGCCGCAGACCACCCACAGTTGCTATGCACTCCACATCACAAAGGCGTGCAACCATCGCCTTCTCCAGCTCAATACACTTCGCCATAGCATCGAGGGATAGAATGATGAATTTACGACGATTAAAGGCAGGAGTGCAATATATAAAAATAAGAAAATATATGTACAGTTTGGTCCACACCAACTTGTGATCGGTGCCATACTCAGCTCTACGTAGCACAAGTGTCATGTGCATTTGACGCCTCACGCTGACGTACGATAACATAGTCGAGCAGGTGGGCATGACCACGCCGTGGGTGCGTCCAAGTTAATACATCACGCACGCTCAGTACAAAAGGAGGTGACAGCACCCAGACGTGCCAAGCGGCACTGGACAGATTGGCACTAGCTGTCCGTCACTTCGGGCTTTGCTTCGCACCCTCAAAGTGCAAAGTCTTCCTCCAAGATTGGTCTGGACCGCCTCCTTCGCTGACCCTTGGTGAGGATCAGCTAGAAGTCGTTCAAAAATTCAACTACCTGGGAAGTTGTATCAGCGCCCGTGGGATTGAGGATGAGATCACGAATCGTATAGCAAAAGCTCGGGGCGCTTTTGCTAACCTTCGCCACTTATGGCGGCGGCGCGACATCACTCTTGCCCTGAAGGGTAGAGTGTACAATGCAGCGGTACGTTCGACCCTACTGTACGGTTGTGAAACCTGGCCGCTTAAAACAGCGCACCTGAAGAGGCTAGTTACGTCCGACCATCGGTGCCTTCGCAATTTAGCTCACATCTGGTGGGAACACCGCGTGAGTAACGAGCGTGTTCGACGCCTTGTTTAGGTGGCCAAGCGATGACTTGGTCCAGAGGAATGAAGGCCCTCACTTCTGAGCTGGCCTCGGTTGGAGCGTCTCGGCTCTCTGGTCGGGGTCCGAAAAACGATGAACACGTTTGGTTGGACACACTTGCTGACATGGCAAGGAGCCGAACTCAGTAGCGTTCGTGCTGTGAGTTACTTTGTCCCATCCCATCCCTCTTAGCCTCCCCCTCCAACTAGGATCTCATCATTTAGCCTAATATAATTTTACATAGCAATTTTTTTATGCACAGTAGCCAGCTGGTAGCTTACCAGAACGATGCCCATCCGTTACCGGTAGCTCAGCCGGCCTGCACCAGTTGCTTTTTTTCTTCCTTTTTTCTGTGTATTGCGGCACAGTAGCTGAGGTGTTCCCCACCTCTGGCTAACGTGTATGAAAAAAGTACAAAAGGAGTGTTCGTGATCGTCAGGTTGTGAGTGGCACACAGTGAGAGCAGCCTGTCACCGTTCGCATTCGCTGAACCAATGCCATGTTGACCGATAACATCTGTCCACACCGATGCATCATGCCCAACGGGCGCGTTGAAATCACCCAGCAGAAATAGTCGGTCGCTCCTCGGCGCAGACCGTATCACGGAAGATAGCTGAGTGTAGAAATGATAACGCG